ACCTAGTAGTGGTATTGCTGGATCAAAAGGTATGCACAATTTTATAGCACTTTGGGCATAGTTCCAAATTGCTCTCCAAAATGGTTGGAGCATTTCACAACTCCACCAACAATGCATTAGTGTTCCAATTTTCCCCACATCTTCTCCAATATTTATCATCATCCTATTTTGTCATGTTGGCCAATCTGATAGGTGTGATGTGGTACCTCAGAATCATTTTGATTTGCATTTCTCTAATCAATAGTGATTTAGAGGGGCAGCTAGGTGGCGTAATGGATAGAGCTCCGGCCTTGGAGTCAGGAGGACTTGAGTTCAAATCCGGCCTCAGACACATAATACTTACTCGCTGTGTGACTCTGGTCAAGTCACTTAACCCTAATTGCCTCAAAAAAAAAAAAATAGTGATTTAGAGAATTTTTTTCATATGACTATAGATAGCTATAATTTCTTCATCTGAAAACTGCCTGTTCATATCCTTTGACCATTTATCAGTTGGGGAGTGACCTATATTCTTATAAATTTGACTCAGTTCTCCATATATTTTAGAAATGAGGCCTGGCTGTGAAAATTGTTTCCCAGCTTTCTGCTTCCCTTCTAATCTTGGTTGCATTGGCTTTGTTTGTGCAAAACATTTTCAATTTAATGTACTTAAAATTATCCATGTTCTCCATCTCTTGTTTGGTCATAAATTCTTCCCTTCTCCATAGATCTGATAGGTAAACTATTCCTTGGTCTCCCAGTTTGCTTACAGTATCAGCTTTATATCTAAATCATGTACCCATTTTGACTTTGTTTTGGTATTTGGTGTGAGATTTTGGTCTATGCCTATTTTCTGCCATATTCTTTTCCAGTTTTCCCAGCAGTTTTTGTCAAATAGTAAGTTCTTATCCCAGAAGCTGGGGTCTTTGGGTTTATCAAACAGTAGATTACTATAGTCATTGACTACTGTGTCTTGCATACCTAACCTATTCCACTGATCCACCACTCTATGTCTTAGCCAGTACTAAGTAGTTTTGATGATTGCTGCTTTATAATACAGTTTTAGATCTGGTATGGCTAGGCCACCTTCCCTAGCATTTCTTTTCATTAATTCCCTTGATATTCTGGACCTTTTGTTCTTCCAGATGAATTTTGTTATTATTTTTTCTAGGTCTATAAAATTTTTTTTTGGTAGTTTGATTGGTATGGCACTGAATAAGTAAATTAATTTAGGTAGAATTGTCATTTTTATTATATTAACTTGGCCTATCGATGAGCAACTGATGTTTTTCCAGTTATTGGGGCAGTTAGCTGGTGTAATGAATAGAGCACCGGCCCTGGAGTCAGGAGGACCTGAGTTCAAATCTCTTGCTGTTGGGCTTTGTTAATAATATATAGAAATGCTGATGATTTATGTGGGTTTATTTTAAATACTAAATTTATTTATTTTCAGTTTTCAACATTTACTTCCACAAGATTTTGAGTTCCAAATTTTCACCCCATCTTGCCCCTCCCCCACCCCAAGTTGGCATACATTCTAAATACCCCTTCTCCTAGTCTGCCCTCCCTTCTATCTCTCCCTCCTTTCTCTTATCCCCTTCCCTTTCTATTTTCCTGTAGGGTGGGACAGATTTCTGTACCCCATTGCCTGTATATCTTATTTCCCAGTTGCATGTGAAAACAATTTTTAACATTTGTTTTTAAAATTTTGGGTTCCAAATTTTCTCCCTTTCTCCCTCCCCCCCCCCCCCCCCGATTGAGAAGGCAAGCAACTTGGTACAAGTTATACATGTGTAGTCATGCAAAACACTTCCATAGTAGTCATGTTGTGAAAAACTAACTATATTTCCCTTCATCCTATCCTGCCCCCCATTTATTCTATTCTCTCTTTTGACCCTGTCCCTCGTTAGAAGTGTTTGCTTCTGATTACCCCTCCCCCAATCCGCCCTCCCTTCTATCAACCCCCTATTCTCTCGCCCCCTTCCTCTCTATTTTCCTGTAGAGTAAGATAGATTTCTATACCCAATTGAGTGTGTATGTTATTCTCTCCTTAAGCCAAATCCTATGAGAATAAGATTCACTCATTCCTTCTCACCTTCCCCCCACTTCCCCTCCACTGTAAGAGCCTTTTCTTTTCTATTTTTTGTGAGATAATTTACCCTGTTCTACCTCTCCCTTTCTCCTTCTCCTAGTATACTCCTCTCTCACCCCTTAATTTTATTCTCCAGATATCACCCCTTCATCTTCACCTCACCCTGTGCCCTCTATCTGTCTGTCTATCTATCTATCTATCTATCTATCTATCTATCTATATACATACATATAATTTTTCCCCTCCAACTCCCTAATACTGCCAAAGGTCTCATGAGTTACAAATACCATCTTTCCCTGCAGGAATGTAAACAGTTCAACCTTAATAAGTCTCTTATGATTTCTCTTTCCTGTTTACCTCTTCATGTTCCACTTGAGTCTTGTATTGGAAAGTCAAATTTTCTATTCAACTCTTGTCTTTTCACCAAGAATGCTTGAAAGTCCTCTATTTCACTGAATGACCATTTTTTCCCCTGAAGGATTATACTGAGTTTAGTTGGGTAGGTGATTCTTGGTTGTAATCCTATCTCCTTTGCCCTCCGGAATATTATATTCCATGCCCTTCGGTCCCTTAATGTAGAAGCTGCTAAATGTTGTGTTATCCTGATTGTGTTTCCACAATACTTGAATTGTTCCTTTCTGGCTGCTTGTAATATTTTCTCCTTGACCTGGGAACTCTGGAATTTGGCTACAATATTCCTAGGAGTTTTCCTTTGGGGATCTCTTTCAGGAGGAGATTGGTGGATTCTTTCCATTTCTATTTTGTCCTCTGGTTCTAAAATATCAGGGCAGTTTTCCTCGATAATTTCTTGAAAGATGATGTCTAGGCTCTTTTTTTGATCATGGCTTTCAGATAGTCCAATAATTTTTAAATTCTCTCTCCTGGATCTATTTTCCAGGTCAGTTGTTTTTCCAATGAGATATTTCACATTGTTTTCTAATTTTTCATTCTTTTTGATTTGTTTTACAGTGTCTTGATTTCTCATAAAGTCACCAGCTTCCAATTGCTCTGTTCTGATTTTTAAGGAATTATTTTCCTCAGTAGTCTTTTGGACTTCCTTTTCCATTTGGCCAGTTTTGCTTTTTAGGGCATTCTTCTCCTCATTGGCTTTTTGGACCTCTTTTGCCATTTGGGTTAGGCTATTTTTTAAGGTGTTATTTTCTTCAGTATATTTTTGGGTCTCCTTTAGCAAGCTGTTGACTTGTTTTTCATGATTTTCTTGCATCACTCTCATTTCTCTTCCCAGTTTTTCCTCTACTTCTCTTACTTGCTTCTCAAAATCCCTTTTGAGGTCTTCCAAGGCCTGGGACTGATTCATATTTTTTTTGGAGGCTTTGAATGTAGCAGCTTTGACTTTGTTGTCTTCTTCTGGTTGTATGTTTTGATCTTCTTTGTCACCAAAGTAAGATAATATAGTCTGACTCTTTTTGTGCTGCTTACTCATGATCCCGGCCAATTACTTCAGTTTTAAACTCTTTGTTAAGGTAAGAGTCTGCTTCCAACGTGGAGAATGTACTGTCCCAAGCTTCGGCGGTTTGTACAGCTGTTTTCAGAGGTACTTCTAGGGACCTCAAAATTTTCAGTTCTTCCAAAGTGCTATGATAAGGAGCGAGGTGTTTTCTCTTCACTGCCACAACAAGCTCCACCACACCAGCACCGCTCCTCACCCCAGGACCACCCCTCAGAACTGTGACCCAGATCCGAGCACGGGCAAAGCAAGAGATTCCTGCCTCAGCCCTGGCAGAGAGATCCCTGCAATCCCCCTCTGATCAGCCACTCGATTCCCCTTCAGTCTGTGGGCTGGAAGCTCAGGAAGCAGCTGCTGCCCTGGGACCACTGCGGCTGAGACCTAGTTTGTCTCTCACCAAAGTCACAGACTTTTCCCACTGACCTTCTAAGTTGTCTTTGGTGTTCGTGGGTTGAGAAGTCTGGAAACTGCCACAGCTGCCTGTGATCCAGTCCTCTGAAGCCTGCTCCAGGTTCACTGCGGCCTGTGCGCCCATGCCGAACTGAGCTCCTCTCCCTGCCCGGCACGGTATACCTTTCTGATCAACCATCCAGGTTATCTTGGGCTGGAAATTTGTTTCACTCTGTCTTTTTGTGGGTTCTGCTGCTTTAGAATTTGTTTAGAGCCATTTTTATAGGTATTTGGAGGGGTTTTGGGGAGAGCTCAAGCAAGTTACTGCTTTCTCTACGCCATCTTGGCTTTGCCTCCTGGGTTTATTTTATATCCTGCAACTTTGCTAGAGTTGCTAATTACTTCAAGTAGTTTTTAAGTTGATTCTCTAGGATTCTCTAAGTATACCATCACATCATCTGCAAAGAGTGATAGCTTTGCTTCTTCCTGGCCTATTCTAATTCCTTCAATTTTTTTCTTCTCTTATTGCTAAAGCTAACATTTCTAGTACAATATTGAATAACAGTGGTGATAATGGACATCCTTGTTTCTCCCTTGATCTTATTGGAAATAAGAAGCCTTGCTTTAGAGAAGATCATATTCTATTCTTTCCTTTGACTTCTCGTGGCCAAGAAATAGGGTTCTGCTTCCCTGCCACAATTCCTTGTGATGTAATATTTGTTGTTTGATATCAAAGTTCTCCATTTTTACCTCAGTATTTCTGGAATCAAACGGAGGAGGCTGGGGGATGGGAGTGGGGTGGAGAGGTTCAGTGCCATAGCCTGAAGGAAAAATTGGAAGCACAATTAGGGTTAGTGTTGGGGGTGTGGGAGGAATAGGTGAGTCACACTGAAAGCCAGAGCTCAGGTCAAAGACTCGGTGATTGCTTTTCATCTTTAACTGTAAGTGTGAGTGCACAGAGTCTCTTCCCTGGGGTCAGTTTCCTCCAGAGGGTTGGACTGCATGGATTGCTAAAGTCCCTTCCAGCTCTGACCTTCTAGGATCCTAAGAGAACGAAGGGTGAGAGGAATGTGCATTAGAAGCTGTGGCAGGACTGCGGGGAGGAAGTAACACGCTTGCGCTGACAGGAGAGGCAGGAAGGAGGGAGGAGCAAGCCACAGGCTGGGGGAGGAAGAGGAAGAGAAGGAGGAGGAGGAGGATGGCAGCAGCTCCGCTGCCACCGCTGGTCACCTTGGTTTGGGCTGGAGTTCTGCTCCTCCCAACAGAGTCCCATGGCGCTGTCTTTGCTCAGGTATTCGTCTTCAGACAGGCTCTATGGTGGGAAGGGGATCGCTCTGGGGATTCTGGGGGGCGGGGGGGGGGGAGGGAGAATATCTGGATCAGGCAGAGGGAGGAGCCTTACCAGAGTTTGGAGCTGTCCGCGGTCCTGTAGGAAAGGAAAAAGGCTGGGCTGCAAGTCTGGATGTATTTGGGTCTTTGTGTGACATGACTATGTGTGTGTGATCGTGTTAAGTCTTTGGGTGATGATTCTTTAGACATTTGGCCTTTGTAACATTGTGATTGTTTCTGTACCCTATGTCATTGTGCCTTCACGACCAGCTTGATCATGGCTGTGGCTTTGTGTGGTGTTCGTGTGGGGTCACGTGTCTCTACGTATGTCTGTGGCAGGAGTTGCGGGGTGGGGGTGGGGGTGCCACTGCTCCATCTCTTTCGCGCTCCTCCAAGCTGGTGTGGACTGGCTATGGGGATAGAAGGGGAAAGGGAGTCAGTAGATTTGGAGACCAGGCTTGGAGCTCCCGAGGGCCTTGTCCTTGTGGCTGTCTTGGAGTCTGTGTCCTTCTGGGATAGCCTTTGAGATTTCAAGGACTAAGCAGCGTGGTTTGGTTTTATGAATGTTTTTGTGCTCTCCAGTTTTATGTCACATTCATTTCAAATCTATTCTTTCTCCATCACGAGCATCATTTTTGTCTTGTCCCAGATATGAAAAAGGCGCTTTCTGCCAAAGCACAGGCTCTCCTTCACCCTAACTAGTGGCCCTTTGGTAGACTTTGAGGAAGGCTCTGAAGAGCTCTGGCCCATACAGCCAAATGGCTCTTACTGAGTCATTTGGAGACGACCGAGTAGGTTGATTTCTGCAGAGGGAGTTTCTGCTAGTCCTCACAGAAATGATTCAAGATTGTAACATGCTGAAACGGAAGGCAAACCACAGGCAAGAGTTCTGCCCCGCTTTGGACTCAGAGGATTTGAATTCCAACCCAGTTCTGTCTTGGTGACCTTGGACAAGTCACTTCCCCTCCATGGGCCTGTTTCTTCACCTATAAAATGAGAGGAATTCGAGTTGGACTATATGGTCTCGGAGGTCTTTTCTGGATTAAAAGAGGATAAATACATATGCACATACATACAGAAATTTCCCATTACCAGAGACCTGGCAAAGAGCTCTAGAGTGATTACTGTCCCTGCCCTTTGTCGAAGTCTCAAGTCAGACATTATGGTGTTGGTTTTGGTGGGATGCGAGGGAGGGAACACATTGGAGTCATGGCCAAATCAGACATTCCAAAGCCATTTCAAGATGTCTCCCTTACCCACAAACGATTGGTAGTTAGACACTTCCATGTTTCCAATGACATGAAAACTCACTCATTTTTAGATTTCCTAGGGATGGAGAAGTACTATTCACTAGGTAGACAGAATTCAGCAGGCTGCTGACGGGATATTTGGGGGTCCTGATGGCAAACCAGAGGACTGTGGATCGGTTGGAAGAATGTGTAGCTTGGCAAAGGGAATACTGAAGAGGGGGTACATGCTTGGCTGTCTTCATTTATCTGAAGAGCAGTAATGGAGAAGGACTGGCTTTGTTCAACTTGGCCTAAAGGCAGGAGAGGGGCCATGGATAGGAGGTACATCTAGGCGTGCTGTCAGGAAAAACTTGCTATGAAAGCGACCCTAGAGTGGAATGGGCTGCCTTGGGGTGTGTGTGTGTGGGGGGGGGGGGGTGTGTGCTTACTTTTTAACCTGGTGGCCTTCCAGCAAAGGGGCAATGGCCAGTTGTCAGGCACATGGCAGATATTCAGGGAATGGTTGGAGGAGCTGGGGCTTTTAAGCCCCTTCCAGATCTTTTTAATAACATGTCTGTTCTCGAGTCACATGTAACATCTGCTCTTTCTGGGTCCCACAGCCCCAGACCCTGCCTTTCTCTTGGAACCTTGGGCAGATGGCAAGGGCCCTTCAGTTGGACTGGCCACCAGGTTCTCCCAAGGCAGCCCTGCTGGCCCAGGCCCTAGAGCGGCTCCTTGAGGCAGAGGCTGGGTGGCGGGAGACCAAGGCTGAAGCTGCTGCCCTGGCCCAGCTCCTCTTGCACCTGTGGGGAGGCTCCCATCTTGAGCCTGAGGTCAACATGGAGGAGACAGTGTCACTTGGTCCCAAGGCCCAGGCCAAGGATGAGGCAGCAGATTCCAAGCAGGCACTCCTCAGGTACCACTGGAGGGAAGGTGGATGGGTCTGGGGAGGGGCAGAATTGGTGGCACTGGAGACTTCTGGATATTTCCATCCACAGATTTGTGATGAGCCAGCTGTTGGCCAAGATGTCGGAGACCCAAATCCCTCCCATCTTGGTCAGGGGGGAACCATGGCCCCGGCAACGTCGTCATTTGCGCCGGGACCTGGGGCCAGGTCCTGCTTCCGTGTCACATGGGACTGCACTACAGCGCCTGAACCGCCTGGAGGCCTTGGGAGCCAAGGGCAGGGCTCAGGTGCAGTGGGGAGTACCACTTGCTACCACACGCTACTGGCCAGAGTGACAGGGTCTCCATCCACCCTTGCTTCCTGTCTCTCTCCTCCATCATGCATGTTTATCCCCAGCCTTGGCACCCAAGCTTAATAAAATAGCCTCCTTCGTGCCCCTGCAAGCAAAGCAGAGTCTGTCTCATCTCTGGTCCCCACACCCCTTGCCAACTTCTGAGGCATTTTCCCAGCCCCTTTTGGGGCAGTCGATCTCCTGGAAACAAGTCTCTTCCACACCAGCTCACCCGGGCACTGATGCCAGCTTGCCTCGCATTAACGATGTTTATTGCTACCTTATGGTGGCACTTTTGACCCTCCCCTCCCTCATCAACTACAAAATGGGTGGGTGGGGAAGCAAGTGTCTTTCGTTTTCTTTTATTTAGGGAAGCCAGTGTCTGCTAGAGAGACGTAGGAATGATTGTTCTCATTAATCAATAATCCAAAAGAATGGCAACATCAAGGAGGGGCCACCGGGCACTCAGCTGTCATGGCAACGCTGGCATCTCCTCCCCAAATTTGGACTGGTATGCAGCCTTCTTGGCCTCCAACAGAACCTAGACAAAGGCAAAACAGTTGGAGGGAGCCCTTCTCTTGATGCCCAGCCCATGGGACGCAGCAGCCACTTCCAGGGGACTCACCTCATGGTTCACATAGGCCTGGCAAGTGTAACACCAGGCTGAGAGGTCAGCATAGCTTAGGACCAGTGGGTGGCCTGAGGCCTCATGGTGTTGGAGCATGTGAGCCTGAATGTAGCGGCCACAATGAACCTAAAGGAAGCCAGGGAGGGAAAGAATCATCATTTATTAAGTGCCTACTATATGCCAGGCACTGTACTAAGCCCTTTACAAACATTTTATCTTGTCCTTATGACTGCCCTGGGAGGTAGGCGCTATTATGATCCCCATTTCACAGGTGAAGAAATTGAGGCAGAGGTGAAGTGACTTGCCGAGTGTCACAGAGCTAGTGTATGAGGCAGGATTTGAACTGGGGACTTCCTAACTCCAGGCCCAGCACTCTGTGCACTGTGGCACCCCTGGCAACCCTAAGAATGAGGGTAATCCCTTCTAGTACCCAGGAGTTGGAATGACTCCAGGGTCAGGTAGAATCTTGTTCTCTGCCAACCCCACACCTCCACTCTGCACTCCATACCACCTTCCCCGGCCCACCTGATAGCAAGACAGGCAGAGCCAATTCTCCAGATGGGTGCTACAGTCCTGGCATGGCTGGGTCACATCCAGGCCCCCCTCAGGCACTGAGCGCACAGTCGCCAGGTGTGGGCACCAGGACAGCGGGGTCACAGCATAGAATGTGGCCTAAGAGGTTGTTTGAGAGAGCAATGAGTCTGAGGCCAGGAAGGGTGTTCTCACCATATCTTCATCCGGTGGGGACCTGGGGGTGAAGCAGAGACTCACCCCCTCAGCATCAAATTGGTCCCCTATCATCAGTAGGGTAGGGGTGGCTGGGCCCCCTCCCCCAGCCGCCTCCCCAAGTAGGCCAGGCTCCCCAGGGTCCTCTTCTTTGGCAACGACGGCTTTGGCCTCTGGCTCCCCCGGAGCACGTGCACTGAGCCGAAGGGACTCCAGGCCCAAGGTCTCCTCGAGCACGGGTGACAGAGGCCGTTCCTCTAGCTTCAGTCCTGTGGCCAACGCCTCTGGGGGGCTCTCCTTCTCAACCGGCTCCAATGAGCTCTCCCTTGCTTCCACCTCTGTCTTTACTGCTGGACAGTGAATGGAACGGGGAGAAACCAGTCACCCCCCCATCCGGTTGGACCCTCCGCAGCCCCGACTGAAGCTCTGCTCACCAGTAAGCCGAAGGCTCTGCCAGTACTTCTGGTGGTTCTGGGCAACCTCAGCCAGTGAGAGGAAGGCCCCAGGCAGCGGAGGCCGAAGCCAGGGGAGTGATGGGGGTGGGTCACCTAGAAGGGTCCGGGCACAAGCAGCCATAGATTCTGAGATGGATGTTAGGTTGTAGCCACCCTAGTCAGGGGAAGAGAGGTAGGTGGGCATGGAGGGCCCAGAGTCATGGGTAAGGACGATCAAGGGGAGACCACAGGAAAGGGAAACAGCAGAGTCCCGAAGGAATCGTACCTCGAGGATCAGGGCAACGCGGCCACCAGCCAGCCCCATCAGCAGATGCGTCATGTGTGCGTAGCCCTCTGGGGAGACGAGGCAGCCTCCGAGGGGGTCCCCTCGAGCAGCATCAAAGCCAGCAGACACCAGCACCAGCTCAGGGTTGAACTACAACATAATTGAAGCACTCGAAACGTCTGCCCGGCCTCTCGGGTGGATGCGAGTGCCAGGAGAGGCCACCCCACCCTCAAACATCTTCTTTTGCCGCCAGTCTCACCTCGTAGGCAATGGGCATCACAATATGGTGCATGGCGGTGAGGTAGTCGGGATCTCCAACGCGGGGCCCGTTCCATGCCACGTTGACATTGAAACCCTCTCCCTGGCCCTGGCCCACGCAGCTGCTAGCACCATCCTTAGCCACAGGGAAGAAGGCGCCGTGATCATAGCGGTGCAAGGACACGTACAGCACGCTAGCCAGGAGAAGGTTTGTTAGAAGACCAAGGCAGAGGCAGACGCCTCCCCATGGGCTTCCTGTCCTTCCTCAGGCCTTACCTTGGGTCCTCCTCAAACATGTGCTGTGTTCCATTGCCATGATGAATGTCCCAATCCACAATCAGGATTCTGCAAGAAGAGACAAGGAGCCTCCCCCAGCTCTTTCCCTCCAGCTCCCCTTAGACAGAGTGCTCAGCAGCTTTTGTGTGGCCTGGCCCTGTGGGCAGTCAGGCTGGCGATGCCAGAGGATTACCAAGGACGCCAATTCTAACGAGCCCCACCTCTCCAGATAGAAACCCAAGAAAGCCAAGGTCAGAGGCCAAGTTAGAAAGCCCTGCGTCTGAGGGCAAAGGTGGACAGTACTCCTCTTCACCCTTTCCAGCTTCCTGCCTCAGCTGCACTCACCGGAGGGCCCGGCCTGCCACCTCCTGCGCGTGGCGAGCAGCCACGGCCACAGAATTGAAGAAGCAGAAACCACAGGCAGCATCTCTTTCCGCGTGGTGGCCTGGTGGACGGACAATGGCTAGCCCGTTCTGCACCTGTGCTGAGGCCAAATGGCAAAGGATGGCCTCATTTCCTGCCCTCTGTTATCTGCCTCCTCTTTCCTCACCCCACCTTGGAACCAAGCCATGTTATACCACGGCATGCCACGCCACACCACAAGAATTCCACCCTATCCCACATCCTCCACCGTGGTGGAGCCCCCTCCCTTTCACCACGTGCCTCCCTGGCCAAGATGGCCTCCACCAAACTGCAAGCGGCTCCAGCGGCGAGCTGGGCACAGCTGAAGGAGTGGGGGGACATGTAGATGGAGTTGTAACTTTCACCCTCCCTGTGCAGGTCCCGAGGCTTCAGGCCACTCGTGGCTCGAACACGGTCAACATACTCCTCGCTGGACAGGAGGAAGAGAGGAAAAGGTGGGGAGAGGCGCTTTGTGAGGAGAGGAAAGAACAAAGAGAAGAACAAAGAAAGAAAAGAGGGTGAAGAGGAGAACAGAGGAGAGAAGAGAACAGAGTGGGCAAGGGGCAGCCTCTACCTGTGGCAGCTCAGCAGCTCGTTGTCCGTAGCGGAACGGGCAGGCAAAGGGAGGCATCGAGGGGTCAGCCCGAGCTCCACGAGGCGCTGCGCTATTTGGGCAATGCGTTCGGGCCGCTCTGGGTGGTGGCTGGGGAAGGGCCAGGTAGGGTCATCGAAGGGAAGGGAGGTCATGTGACCCCTAGCAAATGGTGCCCTCAGCCACCAACCCAAGCCCAGTACCTGTCCCACATATTGAAATGCTCCATCATCCTCTCGTCATATACCAAGCCTGTTCGGTTCGGAGGCAGGGGCAGGGCCTGCTCCAAGGGTTTCCCCAGGGCCTCAAGCTTAGGCGGGGGGCCTAGGCTCACCTCCCTGTGATCTTTCTCCTTGTCCTCAGGGGCAGCCTCTGTTATAGGGGGTGGGGGGTGGGGATCAAAGGATCACAGATTTAAAGCTCAAGATCACGTGGTCCCACCTGCTCATTTTAGCAGGCCCTGGGAGAGGGAAAGGACTTGTTCAAGGTCAAGCCAGCATCTGAACCCAGTCCTGAGATCTCCACCATACTAGGCATAGTCTGGCTGTCCCACGGAGGCCCACTTGTGGAATCTCTTGGTTCTCTTCCCTCCCAGCCCATCACCCCTGGGGCCTCCACCTCTGAGGACTGAGATCATAGATACCTTTGGATAGGCATGGGCAAAGGAAGCGGGGCCCACACCTTCCAGACCCCCAGCCCTCCCACGTTCCCTTGACCCTCTCAGTTGCCTCACTTACGAAACCTCTGTATAACCTTCCAGAAAGGTCTGTGAGCAGCCAGGGTACAGGACAAGGAAGCCAGGGCACTGCCAGTTGGGAAAAAAAAAATAGGAGTGATCAGAGAAAATCAGAAAATAGCAGAGCTGAAAGAGATCTGACGTTACCTAGTCGAAGGCTCTCATGATCCGAAGGCAGGACGAGGGACTCAAAATCAGAGAACGTCTGAGACAGGAGGGACCCTACAGGTCACCGATGACAATCCACAGAGAGGTGGAATGATGTGTCCAAGGTCACCCAGATTCTAAGTTAACAGTCATCCACATTCCTCCCCCCAGAGAAACCCTGGGATTCCTTGAGGACCTCTCACCTGGGGCAGGGGGTGCAAGGTGTTGCCAACATGGGACATGGGTCTCCCAGGAGGGTCTGCAGAGTGGCACTGACCCCCAAAGCAAGAGAACGCAAGTTGTAGCCACCCTGCAGGAAGGGAGACGCAACTCAGAGAAGGAAAGAAAGGGAATGATGATGGAGGGAAATCAGCCACTCTCAGAGGTAAAGCAGTTAGCTGTCTCGTGGAAACCTAGCATCAAAGTGGGAATCCACTGAGAACAAGGGAGGAGCAGTGCTCAAGGGGACACAGGATGAAAAAAAGCAGAAGGGGAAGGAAGAGCAGAAGCGTAGGCTCTCAGGCCCCTCCCCAGAATGCCTTTGCCCCGATTTGCCCCTGGCCTCTTCCCAGATCCAATGAGCAAGGCAGGAAGGCAGTTATGTGCGTAAACGCAAAGAAGAGGTGG